TACGTGGGTTTTGGTTTTTGCGGTGTGTTTTTTTGTTGTTTTTTGTTGTTTTTTTTTTTTTTTTTTAAACTAACCACATTACCAAGAGTCAAAGCATCAAAAGTACACTTCTGGGTGCAGTCTTGATGTGTCCTTTAATACCCAGCTTGTTCAAATGTCCTTACGTGAAACTGGACACTGCCACTTATGGATCTCTCCCCTACCTCCAATTCCCACGGAAGCAGGGCAGTACCACATTTAGGACTGGAGCTGTTGTTACAGCACTGCCAGGAAACGCTGAACTTGCATGCAGAGAAGCTGAAATTTCATTTCTCAGCTAAGACATGGACTCATGGAGAGACTGGCTACTACTAGTCACTTTGGCTGGATCAAATACATACTGTCATGTGGCTTGAATTTTTTAGGATCTTTGCTTTACAAGAATAGGAAAGCATTTCTTCCCATTGAATAGAGCCATTCATGATTAATTGGGCACTTCAGCGCTTGTAGCTCCTCCAGGTGCAGAAACCTCTGACCAAAGACCCGCACATGAAATGCGGTGCTCCTGGAAGGGGCTGGCAGGGTGCTGGGATGCCACACGGTTATCATTCACAGCTAGGCTCCTACCAGAACCGGCTGCTTCCAGACGCTCTGTTAACTTCCCAAGAAATTCAGTCTTAGGCTGAAACATGGAAAACAGCAAAGTAACCCTTGCTCTCAAGCCAACCCATATTCCAACCCACACCAGGCACGATTACTCAGTTTACCTGAGCAGCAAAAGAGGGAAGAGTTCATTCTAAACCAGTACCATTTTTATTCTAGCTGCATTGAGTATGTCTCACTGATAACAAATCATCTGCGTGAGTACTGTCACCAACAATATTTCATACAAAAGCTGGCAGGAAGCATTCTTCCTGCCACACAGATGAAATCCCAAGATTTCATCCTCCCAAACCAGAACAGAAAGCTCAAAAGCCCTGGTGTAATCTGCTCTGTGCTGAGCCCTGGCCAGAAGAGGAGGCCAAAGCTCAGCTTGGAGCAGCACCTTGTGCAAGCAGGAGCAACCGTCCCTGCCCGCCCACAGTCCCTTCTTCCCCGCAGCACCAAACTACGCAGGGCAGAGGTGAAGCCTGTCTTGGGCAACCACGTCTGGTCTGTCAGAGTAATGTTTTCCGTACGACAAAAATTGCTGGCTGTTTTTCAGATGTATTTAGAGAGAATTATTTATTCAAGTTACATTGTGATACAGGTCTTTTCAAACTACTTATATACAATACTTCTGAACTTGGCAAGTATGTGCACGGAAATAATGAGAGAAGACTTTTTTACTACCAGAACAGCATACGCAGGTAAAAGGTCAATATAAGTCCACCAGAGAGGTGGCTCTTTCTATTTGCCATATATTGCAAGGTTTAAACAACTCAAGATTTGTTTATTGTTATTATTACTATTATTAGATTCTTCTTCATTGCTTTGTCACTTCTTTTCCACTGCAGTCATTGCTCTATTCATTCATTCACTTTAAAAAGAATAATAAAACCCCATGTAATCATTTAGGCTCCCATCTTCAACAATGAGCAACAACAGCCTGCTTAGACATCAGTGTGACCTGGGACATCAGCACCACTCAGAAACAAAAGATCTGTCCTAAAGCCTATTTAACTCCAGACCACAGCCCTCTCCCTAGCTGGGGCTGAGGTCTCTCCACACTCCGACAGTGGAAGTAGCCAAAAACCTACGTAGCTACCCGAGGAAGGGAGACCGATTTCAGTAGCAGGAAGGTTACATTAGCCCATCCTCTACCTCCCTTCCACACAAGATGGATGCATCAAGAGCTAGAGCCTCAACCGGAAAAAAGTGTCCTCAGTCCTCTGCAACTTTCAGCGAGAATTGAGGTTGATGTGCATCGCACATGAGGCTACGTACCTCCTTAACGAGTTCCCAGAAACTTGACAAAGTTCTTGACAAAGCAAAAGGAGAACAAATAGGCACAGCGATGGCTGCAGGGTCATATGCTGCCATATGCCACGTGCATTCAAAGAATGATGCTTTTTTTTTTTTTTAAACAGAAGGCCTGTTCCTTGCAGATGCAGCTCCTCCAAGACCCAGCATAAACCGTCTCACTGGTCCACGTGCATTGTGCTGTCCCTCTGCACGAGATTAGCGTCTACACAAGCTAGTCATAGTACCTGTATTGCTCCCACCACCTGAAAATGTACGTTCAACTCACAGAGGTTACTACTGTAAGTATGCCGTAAAGGCAGGTGTTAGAGAGGATAAGTACTAACATGTTTTTACATGAAAACAGGAACCGAAACGTGCAGACTTTAAAAAAAATCACATTTTAAATAACAGTGTTGAACATAGTTGGTGCTCACCTGGTC